TCTAGGGGAAAGCCAGATCCAAGGTCCATACTTGCATGTTTCTAGGTGAGGTCCAGAGATATGTCCATAGAGGAGTGGAAGGGCTCAGAGACCTACAGCCCCAACACTGCGTATGGTAAGACCCTAGCCCTAACCCCACCAGCTGGAGCCATGGCTCTCGGGCTCCCCCAGATCCCAGCTGCAGCATTCTGGCCAGACAGCCTGTGCCCATGTCCTCATTTCTTCTACTCCCACCTGGAGTGTGGAGAGCAGATGGGCCCCTAGAGAGGGCGGGACACCTGGCTGGCACGGGGGATGTGAGCGCGTAGACCCTGCTGTCCCACAGGCGTGGACTTCCTGGTGCCTGTGATGGGGTACGTCTGCCGCATCTGCCACAAGTTCTACCACAGCAACTCGGGGGCACAGCTCTCCCACTGCAAGTCCTTGACCCACTTTGAGAACCTGCAGGTGAGCTGGGCATCCCTGCTCCACCCTGTTCTTCGGTGGGGGCTCGGACTCTGTCCAAACTGATGGGGACAGCCAGTGGTGGGAGCCAAGGGGAGGGGCTGGGCTCTCTCTCATTGTTCTGGGAGGTGCTGAGGGTCAGGCTGTTAGCTCCAGAGGCTGGGTTTAGAGAGGCCGAGTATATCACACAGGGTCACACAGCATATCTATGCTGTCTTGGCTGGGGCTGCAGGTAGGAGCACACCAGGTAGGAGGAAGCCCTGACCTCGACTTCACCCTTTGTGTCCAGAAATACAAGGCAGCCAAGAACCCCAGCCCCACCACCCGGCCAGTGAGCCGCCGGTGCGCGATCAATGCCCGGAACGCCTTGACTGCCCTGTTCGCCTGTGGAGGTCGCCCACCCAGCCAGCCCAGCACCCAGGACATGGCCAAAACCCCCAGCAAGGTGTCAGCCCGACCTCCCCAGCCCCCACCACCCCGTCGCTCTACCCGCCTCAAAACCTGATAGAGGGAGCCTGTGCCCAGCCCATCTAGGTCCAGGTCTGCTAATGCTTTTTAGGAGTCTGCTTGGAAACTCTGACATGGTTGGTGTTTTTGCTTAAAATGCAATAAAAGAAAGTAGTTTGGCTG